TTTGGCTTCAGATTGAATCTGTAAAATTGGATTTCTAACCTAAGAAGGGTGTGAGTATTAGAGGAGAGGACTTATGGGGCATATTTCAACTTTTATCAAGTTCAGAAGTTCACATAATGTACATTAGTAAAGTGTGGTCCATGAGAATAATGAACAGGAGGGCCTACAGGCATTCTAACATATGTTACTGGGTTCAAGTTTAACGTGGCATTTTATAATATTTGCAACTTAGCTAATGATAACTAATGTTTAGCAAAGGGTTTTAAAGAAACCTTAGTATCCACACCTTTCATTCGGATAAATGACACTTGGGTTTAAAATGTGTTTGTGGTGGAGCAGACATGGGGAATTGGATTCTGCAGGCACTGTAAAAGATTCACCTTGCAGCAAAGATTTATAGAAACGGAATAAAAGGCACGTTGGGGACCTAGTACCTCTTCATTGATGGCATGTCACTACTGCAGTAGTTATTTACTGTTTTTGTTTTTTTAATTTGCCTGTTAACAGAAGGTGGTAAAATGAAGATCAAAGCAAACCTGCTTTTTGTTTTCCTTTCAAAGGGGCAGTCTTTCTTTGTGCAGTATTTCTTTGTCCAACAGTCTGTTGGAACCTCTGAATAATGCTTTAAGATGTCAGATTGTGGTGCCTTTATGGACACAGAAGCCATCAGGAAGTGGCACCGTTCTAGGAAACCCTTTAACTTCAAGAACGGGACGACAGACAACCAGCTGGGACCCTTTATGTTCTCCAGAGGTTGTTTGATTCCATGCCAACTGCACTGGCTTTGTCATTTTCAAACATACTAGGGTGTGTGTTTTTTTAAGTAGCATTAAAATGTGGATTTCAAAAAACTCCTGCTAGAAGTAAATTGCAGCTTACCTTGGGGCGATGCATTAAATATTTACAAGATTGCTGAAGCCCAGTAGTTTTGAAGACTTAATCATCTCCGCTAATGTAGAAATGTGCAAAAACATTTTGGCATTTCTGGGCTCCACTGACAAGTAATTAACTTACGTGTATCTAGAACTGTCATTTACATGGCCATTCGACGCAGCAGTCATAATTTCTATTTTCAACAACAGTCCTCAATTAGTACAAATCAGGCTCTTTCCCATTTCAGAAATGTTTCTATACAGCTCAGTAGGCTTTTAGAAGAGAAAGGCTAGGCATGCTTCTCACTGTGAAACACATTTCTCTTTGCAAGAGGATGTTCTTGGATTCACTCATGGGCTGTGCTGTTTTCCAATTTCATCGTCAGAACGTAAGGGCTTAGGAAGCTAAATGTGAACAGCAGCCTGAAGGTGGATGTGTGTGTGCATGTGCCTACATGTGCTTAGTCATTTATATCACCTTGTGACAGCTAGGTGATGGAGCTGTCACAAGGTAATATAATGAGCTGACCTCCCCTGCAAGTCTGACTCTGCTCCGTGTTCACCTACCTCACGGGTTGGAGCTAGGCTAGAGACACCAGGCAGCCAGGTAGATGGACAGACATAAATTCATTGTGTACTGAGGGAGTGGGGCCGGGGTGGGGGAGGTGAGGTGGGAATGGCAGTTGTTCAAGGGCCTGTTGGCTGGTTTCATTCACAATGGTGAAAAGTAGCACCATTTTCCACCTCTGCTTGTGAGTACATTTATGATGATACTGCAAACATTTTTTTCTCTGTATAAAGCCAGTCTAGTTGTAAAATCTACCCTACTGCTCTAGGCAGTGTCTCACTTCTCTCAAGTTTGTACAAATTCTCCATTAATACATCATTTATTATTTTAACAAGGTATGCAAAGCCCGGTTGACACTTGGAAGTCTGCATACACCAGTTCCCATGGGGACTGAATTACAGTTCTGTATCTGCAGGTGACACAGAAGGTCAGTTGTACAACATGGAACTGAAAACGCTTGTTGGGGAATAGTAGAAGATTCAGAATAGTGTTGCTTTTACTTCTGGGGGTATTTAAGCCCTCCCATCCCCTTTTCCATGTTTGCTTTTGTTTCGGGTCAGAGTATAAAAGGAAGAAGACTGTCGTAGCCCCTACAAGGGTCAAGCCACGGTATTCCTAGAATTAAGTAAGAGTTAACGCATATATTCATTCAAGACTGGGTTTGTGAAACTAATCTCAAATGTATTTATATGTCTTAAATGAGGTGGAAAATGTGTACTTCATGGGTGGCAGTGGGTAGGGGCAGGAAATCCTTCCTTTATTATGATTATTTGACCTTGGACTGTTTGCTTCCCAGAGACTGGTCACAACTGTTAGTGGGACTCAGCCAGCTGAGTTGGTGCTGGAGTCAGAATTTATAGGCTGCAGGATGAAAACTCCTTAGCTCTAGAGATGGACCTGGATGTGATCCTGACTCAGTGACTTAACTAGCTGTGTGACTTGAACCTCTTTGAGCCTCAGTTTCCTGATCTGTTGGGCTATTGTAACTGACAAAGATCACATATCTAAAGCACCTAGCACAGTATCTGACGTAAAGCCGAACATGTTCCCAGATGATGGGCTATTATTATATTTCTTTATTTGACCCCACACTACCTCAGGTTGTATGATGGTGGCAACTTTTGAGTCAAGATTAAACCCAGGCCCATCTGCCAAAAGATAATTTAGACTCTACATATGTACATGCATATGTGTGTGCGTGTGTTTGTGTTTTTTTTAATCCTCACCCGAGGATATTTTTACTTTTATCTTCAGATAGAGTGGGAGGGGAAGAGAGAGAGACATCAATGTGAGAGAGAGACATTGATTGGTTGCCACCTGCATGACCCCAACTGGGGCCAGGGACTAACAAGGTACATGCCCTTGGCCGGAATCGAACCCAGGACTCTTTGGTCTGCAGGCCAACACTCTAACTGCTAAGACAAACCAGCCAGCCTCATGTGTGTATGTTTTTCTGGCCAGGGTCATGCGTGTGTGTTTTTCTAGTGTAAATCCTCATCTGATTCTCTGGAATTGGAAGAAGGAAACCAAAGTGGATTTGAAAATATTTTTATTTCACACATATATGTGTTTATTATTGGCCTGTGTTTAGTAATCATCTGATTAAAGAAAAATAATACATTTAAAAATCATGTTTAATTCAGAAAAAGAAATGAGTTTACCAAACAGAGAATTATGGAAGTACTTAACCAATCTGTAGTGACTGTTCATTTCTTTTTTTTTTTTTAGTCCTCACCCAATGATATTTTTCCATTTATCTTCAGATAGAGTGGGAGGGAGGGGGGAGGGGGAAAGAGAGAGAGGGAGAGGAACATAGATGTGAGAGAGACACATTGATTGGTTGCCTCCTGCACAATCCCAACCAGGGCTGGGGATAGGTCCCCAACTGAGGTATGTGCCCTTGACCGGAATTGAACCGGTGACTGGTCCACAGGCCACGCTCTAACTGCTGAGCCAAACTGGCCAGGGTAGGATTCTTTTTTTTTTTTCCTAACATGGATTTGCTAACCATTTAGGTTATTTGTAGCACTGGGCTGGGCAATATGAGTAGATAAAAAATAGAGGTACTCCTAGAAGGAGTTAATAGCTGAACTGGAAACACCTTGAAAATAAGGACAAAGCAAAATGGACTCTTTACAACAAATGTATTATAAACTATCATAAAAGCAGCTGATGTTTACTAAGTACTTCTTACTGCTAGCACTACACTCATTTAATCCTTGCTCTTAATCCGATAAGGTAAATGATGTTGTCGCCCCAGTATTACCGAGAAAGCCAAGGGACCAAGAGGAAAGTGAATTGTTTGCAGTTACTCTTCCACGCAAAGGATTTAGAGAGGATATTATACTTGCCCTAGAGTCCTGAGGTCCCTCCTGGATCTGGACGTCTAACTGTAAAGTGAGGGAGTGGTTTGGGGTGGGAGGGTTGCTTTGGACTTTCTAAGCAGACTTGGATTTGATGAAGAGGCAAAAACAACAACAAAAATTATTTTCTGAATTTGGCAGTTGGCATCTTCTAATGTCATTTATCGTCTTTTTCACACACAGCATAAATGTTAGGCAGCCTAGAAATGAAGAGTTTTAAAGGGAGAAAGCTTTATTTCAGAAGAAAACAATGATCACATGATTGTGTGCTTTGGAGAAAACAGCCCTAAAAAGGACTTGAATTGGGTCAAGTGTCGCGAATGGCTCCGCACTGCTGTAGGGACCGTCCTGCCGCGGGGCGGGGAGGGGGCGGTCGCCGGACAGGCTGGAGGCAGTGTCCCCCCGGCAGGCCGCTGTGTGCGGCCGCTGGCCCGTGGAAGGGCTTCTCAACTGCGGTCCGAGAGCAGGCACAGCCTCCCTCCTGGCCGCACTGGAGGGTCTCGGCACGGGGCTCGTCCTCGCGACAGGTGTGGCCAGAGCTGTGTCCGCACAGACTGGGGGTGCGGGACTGTCTGGAAAGTTGGGCTGCCTTTCCAGTGTGAAGTGAGCCTTGGGGTACCAGCACGCCTTCATCCACCCGGCGACCCGCCACCTTGTTGCCATAGAAAACCTGGCCCCCATTGGTAGACAAGGCCTTCTTGCCCTGAGCCCCCGCCTCCCTCGCCGGGAGCCCGCCGCTGTGCGAGCAAAACCACCTTCTGCTCCCGCCCTGCCGCCGCCGCCGCCGCCGCGGGGAAGAGGGAGCCGCCGGCAGCCGGCCGCCGCCCTGCGAGCCTCGCGGTGAGTTCCCGGGACCGGCGTCCCGGCTGCGCTCCGCTTCTCGCCAGGGACAGGCCCTCGGCCCTGGGCGACTAGGACTGTCAGGGTTGTCAGGGCAACTGTTAATGGCAGCGGACCGTATTTTCCCCTCTGCGCTGTGCGCTGACTGTTCCCTGCGCGGTGGCTGGAAGCGGACGGGGCAAGGTGGTGCTGCCGCAGGAGGGGGAAGCGGGGATCCGACCGAACAGGCTGGGCAGTGGACGGGCATCCGGACCTGCGTGCCTGTGGTGCGGCTCTCCCGGAGGGGGTGTGTGTGTGTGTGTGTGTGTGTGTGTGTGTGTGTGTGTGTCAGGGCCAGCACATGTGCCTGTGGGGAGTAGTGGGAGGGGGCTGGCCGGGGAGGGGGGTTGCTCTAGGTGAGGGGGAACTGCAGGGCCCCAGTTGCCAAGTGGCTGGTAGTATCTGTCAGCTGTCTGCACACTGTTTACCCATAGGGGATCTATTACAAGTGCTCAGATGAACGGGCCGCTTAGAAACTAGCAGCTTCCTGGGAGCTGCAATTACATAAGCATATATTTTTAATATAATAATAATTAAAAAACAAGTAGCAGCGGTATGCCTGGATCAGCTACAGCTCTCCGGCAAGAGAGACTGAAGAAGACCAATGCAAGGCCAGTTCCCCTTGGTTTATTCACCATTAATGAGGAAGATGAACAGCAAAAGAATGGAAATTCCAGAAGACTGAAAGGTATGCATTAGCTCTACCCTTGGATGGAGCCAGCCCACCCATTTCCCACGCTGCCTGTAGCACATTTGACAAACGTGTTCGTGGTGCACACTGTGTGGAGTGCTTGTGACCTTTTAGCACAGTTTGATGGTGGCATTTACACACTTGAGGGCTGTGTGTGCATGAAATGGGGAAGAGATTTTGCAGATTGGGAAGGTTTCAGATCAGCTGCCTTTTTGACCGGAGCTATTCTTTTGACCTAGAGAGCTTTAATTTTCGTATGCTCACTTAAACCGGTACCAGTGACTGTCCTCATCAGGGGAGGAGATGTGAGTTGTCAAGGTTGAAAAGAACCTCTCCCCACCTTCCTTAGGTACATCAGGTGATTTCTGTTTAATTAGGTGAGTTTCTCCTTGAAAGGGGTGAGTTAGATCAAGTGACCTAAGACTGCAGCCTGTCCATGGGCAGAGGGTCAAGATGTTACTTCCTTTCCTAGTCTGAAATTCCAGGAGCATGAAGAGGAGGAAAACAAACAAGGAGTGTAACCAAAAGGGACAAAGCTAGGGAACAGGGAGGGAACCATGATGTTTTATCATTTCCAATGATAACTCTGCTACTGAATGTCATTTAGAGGTTGACATGTGCCGGGTGCAGAAAGGTGAGGTCTGCTGTGTGTGCCTTGTTTTGTTTTGTTTTTTCATGATGATGAAATGAAGCAGCAGCTTCCCTGGCTCCTCGAGTCTTGGGCACTGCATCATGTTCAGCTTCATCTCATACCCACTCAGGCTATGAACCACCAGGGCTGTAATTACCAGAGACGGCGACTTCATGCGTTTTTGAAGAAGGGCTCTATGTCTTGCATTTTAAGTTTCCCAGTATCCTGATTCTTGCAGCCCCTTCCTAAAACATGTATTAGCTCTTCTCTTAAGTTAGTAGGTTATGCTTTGTTGTTTATATGTACTGATTAAATTTTAGCCTGCATTCAAATTGTTCTGTCACTCGGATATCAGATTTTCCTCTGTGTGGCACAGAGCAGTAGCCTGGCAAAGTGGCAAGGAACCATCTAAGCAATGATAGAATGCGTGTTTAAATAGAATCCAGTGTCTGAAGACTACTGGCTCTCTTTTCCCTGGCTCTTGACACAATCTTAGTTTGTTTTTATTCAATATAATTCAAACTACTTTAAATCCAAAAGTATACTTCTGCTACATTTTAAAAAGAATGTTTACAGGGAAGTTTTAATAAGTAGAAATCTTAGTAGTGTAGTTGATTTTTGCCTTACTATCAGACATAGCTTCTATCCAAGGACCAAATGACCACAGGAATCTAATGATGCTATGATGGAAGGTGACTTAGCTGAATCTTTTATTTGCATGTGAATTAGACAGTTGAACCACAGTGTGCTCTTGATGAAAATGCAGTGCTTTAAATTGTGAATAGCAAATCATTTGGCCTCTTGGCAGAAGGAATGTTCACTTTCAAGTCTAACTCTGTCCATCACTAGATCAATGATGGAAATATTCTTTGTAGGTACTGTTCAATATGAAAACCACTAGCTGCACATATGGCTAGGAGCGCTTGAAATATGGCTACAACAACTGGAAAGGTGATTTTTAAATTTTAATTAATTTTAGTTGATTTAAACTTAAATAGTCACATGTGGTGAGTGGCTACCGTATTGGACAACGCAGTTCTAGTCTGCAGAGCTGTGACCTTCTGAATTTGCATCCTCTCTGTTATGCTCATTCTTAATGCTTCCTGGGGCTAGATACAGCAGTGTCCTGAAATGAAGGTGCTTATTAGGAAGGGCGTCATGGAACAGGTGCCCTCTTCCCTGCAAGGGAGCACAGTAACCTGAATTTACAGACAATTTTTTTCCCTTCTTCTTTTTTTTTGGAGACGATTTAATTTTTCTTTTCCTACTTAAATGTTATTGCCTGCTTTGAATATTTTTTTTTACCAGTCACTAGTTGCTTATACCATCTTTTACAACTTTTAATATACTTCTGTTTTCTAAATTATGATTTCCAAAGTATCAAAGCAAAATGATATACAGGTTATCTTTCATGTGTGACTGTTAAGCAATCAGACATTTTGTTTTCTTTCCTGCCCACTCCATGGTCTAATCAGCCAACCATGTTTTTATGGTTAGTATGTTTGTTTTGTCATTACTAGGACTAAAGATGCTTGCTACCTAAATCCAGTAAGCTAAATGCTCTGTGCAGGTTTACTTGGGCTAATGACAAGTAGCATTTTTCTAGGTACTTGACTGTTGGGTAACCATCATAATGAAGTCAGTAGGAATGAATATGTTGATTACCACCTGGACTTCCAGTAATGACTTTAACATCCCCTGGGGGGTGAGACAGTAGTTTGGTTAGCTGGTGGACTGGATCAGTTCTTAAAGGAGAGGTTTGTGTCCTCTGTAATCAGCAGAGGTGTAAATGTTTTACATACCTTGCTTTCTTGACTAGGACATTTAGATAGAAATTGAAAGTGAGTCAGGCTTATGCTATTGCTCTCACGCCTCAGAATCCAGACCTCAGAGTGATGCTGGCCTCAGGCCCGGCTTAGGAGAGACTGTTCAGGCACTGCGATGCCTCAATGCCCTGGGATATATTTCAAGACAAACTGTCTTATGGTGAATTTTGCTGAGTACAGTGTGATTATTACGTAGTAAGACATTTTCTCCCTAAACCAACATTTGTTAAATGCAGATTACTCTGTTGGGCACCATGAACATGATGCAGAGATGATTGACATGGTTTCTGCTCACAGAAGTGTTTAACTGTCTAGTGGAGGTAGACAGGTATGTACAAATAAAGCAAGAATGTACAGGAAATCAGGGAAGTGCTGATATGTAATGAAATTGTCTACGCACACATCTGTGCCCTTCTGTAAACTGTACGCTTCTTAAGGGCCAGGACTATTCCTCTCTCTAAGTAGCTAGTAGAGTGCATGGAACATTATTGACTGTAGGTGAACTTAACATTCAGATATACTTCACAGGCTCTTTTGGTCTTCCTAACAGGAATTCTAAGGAATGTTGAGAGTATTATATTTGTCCTTCCAAGGTAACTTGTTCGGATGTGTCTGATTCATTAATCATATTACTCTCTGCCACACTGCATTTATCTAATAGTATATCAGGAATTCTACTATGTTCTGTTGTTTTCCATCATACTATTCATCACTTTTTTGTGTGTGTGTAAAAATGAAAGTATATGTTTATAAGGTGTTATTAATTGACTACTTTATTACTATCTAAGTTAATGCCTTCTGTCCCTTTTGCTAGCCAATTGCAGGTTAGATTGTAAAGGAATAACATTTCTCCTTGAAATCAGGACACAATAGTCCTGAGAAACTGTTCTCCTTCCCCCCACCCCTCCCTCTTCGTTAAAATGTGCAGTTACAGCGTCTGCAGTGGCTTCTCTTCTCTTGGCTTGTCCACTGCCAAGGTAGGGTTTCCGCCAGTGAAGGTTTCCAAGTGAAATATAATCTACCATTTACCATTTATGTTCCTACTGGATAGGGTATGATCCAGCAACTGAGGGGTCCTCTTTGTAAATCATGAGTCTTTCTCTTTTTGAAGAGGAGTGTTATGTCAAGAAGTGTGGATGTCGCTCTGCAGTCATTGCCACACACTTCCTTGTTTCTCGTCCTCTTCTGTCCTGTAAGACTTGGACCCTCATCTGTTCCCATCGTCCTTATTCGTGCCATTTCAGGACTAGGCCAGAGGTTTTAGCAATAAAATTTTACAGCTAACAAGGCAAAAGTAGAGTTTAGAAGAGCAACAATACCCAAGATTCTCTATTGTGAGGAGGAAATCTTAAAGTCAAACTGACTGGTGCAACTTGTATTTGCTAAAGAGACCCTATATGTAATGTTTTATTCAAAGCATTTATATAAAGATAATAAGAATATGGATGTCAAGAACACAGATTATCATACCTGATGTCTGGCTTGTACTCTGTGGATTCTCTATAAATATCTGTTCAGTGAGTTGAACTGTCTCCCACACATTCTGTGTTACAGAAATAGAAATTACCATACATACGTGTCACTCTGTATAAGATGAACATGATTAACCAATTTTTTGTACAGTGTGGTACTGTACACAGTGGAATTTGCTTGCTGTGTACAACTGCAAGCTGAGAAGTGTGCCTGCTTTAAGAGCTGTAGCCGATGGGGCTGACCGAGCTGCCTATTCCAACCATGAGAACCAAACACAAGTATTTGGTGAGACTCTCCCAGCTGATAAATCTTAGGCATTATTTTCTGGAAGGTTAAATTGAGTATCCATTTCCATATGTCTCTAAGAGCAACTTTAAATGTAATTCATTGTTACCCAAGATTTTCCAAGTGATTTTGCAGGTACCTTGATATTGTCTTTAGAAGAATCTAATACCTTTACAGCAACAAAGGTCATTTCATTGAGAGAGTCCATCTTAATTCTGAAATCGTCTAGGCATTTAAAAAGAGCCCAGTTTATGTCAGACCCTCTGTGTATTAGGTTTATGTTTTAGATTTGCCAACTTCAAAAGACAGGACATACCCCGTTATAGCTCAGCTCCAGATGCAGAGGCCAGAGCCTATCACAGGTGGGCACAAGATACTGTTTGAAGTACTTCACAGAACACCATCGAATATTTTTGCTGACTATATAATACAAGTTCTATTTTTAGGCTATCTTCCCAGCAATGATTTTGTTAGTGAGAGAATTACAGCAGAGCCTGTCTAGAGTCCAAGGAATTTACCAGGTCCAGTGTGGAGTGTGAAATGAGAAGGGAGCTTGGAAGTATCAACCAAGGAAAACTATTTTCACAGTTTTGATCTTGAATATATATGGCTGTCGGGGCTAGATTCATCCTTAAATTAGAGGCGCAGACCTAATGAAGTAGTAGCAGCATATTCGGTGGAACCTGTGATCATAAAGTCATCATTGGGAACAGCAGTATGGAGGCTGATGCCACTCTGTACTCCTCATAGGATTACTTTCGAGGTCCAGAATCAAGCGCATT